GGTTTATATGGCATCATATAAGGAACTGCTCAACCAATCAGATTGCTGGAAACTTGGCTCAACTCTGAAATTATACTAAAAACATATGTATATGTTTTGCTAGCTCTGATGAAGGGCCGATGCTGGAAATGTCAGCTTAGAAACTCGTTATGGTGGCCACTATTTATGTTACCAACTCAATTGATAAGACCAAACTATCTTGTTACAGATATATTTCATTTGATTATCTGCAGGTATCACCAGGTACGCTCATATGATCGTAACATAGCTGTGAATGTTTGGTGGAAACATTTACCTGACTTTGTTCCACAAGATTGTGATATGGAACCCAACCAGACATTAGACAATTTCAGGTTCTCAAGTCTTGAAGAAGATGCAAGTAACAGTCAAGAACAAGAAGGTTTCATGTAAGTGAAATTTTCTAGGGTACATATAATTTTTTAACTGTGGCATAGTGTATCATTCGATTCAACTCGATCAAGACGCATTTGGCTTACAAAGGGTCTTTAACAGTTGACCATGCATCAGCCACTATTAACTTCTGACCATCTTTTCAGTTTATTGAAAGAAATAAACTAATTCTTTGGTATGTATTGTATATACTAATTAAAAACAATTATTCACCTCAGTGTCAGTGGAAATGGTGTATATTTACCTCCACTTGTCAAATAGTTAAAACCTTTATCCACCCAGGCCTCTTATACATCGTTCTGACGAAGGGATAACGCTTGAAACTTCTCAGCTTTATGCTGGCCAATTTACAGTGCTGATAAAAACAAATTATCTTGTTATACCCCTACCAATACAGCAAAACAGTTTCTTCACAAATGTAACCCCTCTGATACATTGGTATAAATGATTCAAAAAGGAGGGGGGCATTGGGGCCTCTGGGAAACCGCAAAACTGGAGAAAAAAACCTCCAAAACCGAAAAATCAACGAAAAAAGGCAGCAAAACCGAAAACCACATGCAACCCTGACAAAACTGCTACATTTTCACCTTTAAAGGGGGGCAAAAAGGAAAAACCGAAAACTGTATCAGAGTTTTCGTGAAAACCAAAAACCGAATGCAAAAACATGTAAAATCTGCAAACCGCTCTGAATATCAAAACCAAAAAACCGATCCAAAAAATAGCCAAAACCGCAAAACCGAAAATCCCAAAGCTCTCCTCAAAAAGGTTTCTCAGCTGATAAATTTTCTTTCAAAATTTTTCTTTCAGGGGACACATTAGTGTGCTGGTTGCCAATGGTCAAGTTGGTTTTAGGGAGTTTGAAGACAAATTGAAAACAGTACGTTCTAGGTTTTTACTCTGACTTGCGACTCTCAGGGGTGAAGTGGTCATTAAACTTTTAAACCCTGTAAACCCCAAGAGTGACCTGCGTCTTGTTTCTCCTTACAGCTTTGTAATACTGCTGAATTCTTGTAAATCACGAGTTTAAAGGAATTGATCACCAACCTAAGCAACTTTGACTGTTAAACAAATTCTCCTTGTCCACAACATAGGAAGTGAATAGATAATAGTATGAACAATATGGATACTGACATCAGGGTTGATTTTCATTAAAATTTGTTTCTGTCAACATAGGGATAATTTATTGTTTCGAAATAACACCAGATTCTCAGGACTAATAGTCATTAGTAAGGGGACTATAAGTAAACAGGTTTTGGGTAGTTAAATGTGAAATTTTGATCCTTTAGTTTGTTATAATTTATTGCCAAGGCCACTTCCAAACTGTAATCATTTCAAAGAGTGAAATATTTA